TCGTCTTAATTTTTAGTTATTCTCTTTGCAAATTTGAAATATTCAAGGTAAAGCAGGGTTGTTTAAATTCAGACTGTTCAAATTGTAAAATTTCAGTGAAACTTATCAAATTTAATAAATTTTCTTTTTAATTCAATAAATTGATTCACATTTAAATATTGAAATTCGGAAATTTAAAGCGACGCATAGGGAGGCTAAACCGCTTTAACGATCTTCATAGGCATAGACCGATCTCTAACTACGGTCTTTAAAACGGAAGAGCTCGTTTCTATGAAATACGCGACTTTCGAGAAAAATTTTTAACGCTCATTCGAACGGATTAGGAATCGAGATTTTCTGAAAGGACAGGAGAAACCGGAAGTCACGCTCTTACCATAAGATTTACGGTCTTCCGAGTGTGTCGTTGCTGGCTCTTGCTCGATACACACCCCGCCCACGAACGGCAGTAGATTACGCGGTTTTTGCATCGTGAAGCATCCTGTATGCGTTCCCCTAGGCGCGCAATTTATCGATTATACAAACAATAAGGAAATCCTCGACTGAGCGAGATGTCGAAGGGCCTCGAGGTATGGTTCCACGATCAGCCTCTTGTTTTTACCGCTACTCTCTAGTCTACGTTTCCCTCCATATCAATTTCCCATCGCCTTTTCGAATTTTCATAAAATTACAATTTTTCTGAAATTTTTTTACCTTAAAATAAATATTCCAATATCACTAATTTACATTCACCTCTCTCTCTCTACCTTCTCGCATCGCTAATTTTCAAAATTAAACTTAACAAACTTCTCCACGAAGAAATTTTTTAAAATATATAAATTCTGAAAATATTAGAGAAGCAAATTCCTGAATTGTGAATTTTTGCAGTCGATCTTAAAACAAATAAATTCACTAATTTACATTCACCTCTCTCTCTACCTTCTCGCATCGCTAATTTTCAAAATTAAACTTAGCAAACTTCTCCACGAAAAAATTTCAATTTTTCAAAATTTTTCAAAATATATAAATTCTGGAAATATTAGAGAAGTAAATTCCTAAATTGTGAATTTTTGCTGTCACGATACATCGGCGGTGATGTCCGATTATTTTCAAGGACAATTCGCAGAAACGTTAAATGCGAAAATGCAATATCGTGAATTTTTTTTCACCGTTTGGTCGATCGGGACGTCGCGAGGCCGAGTCCTCCCGACACCTCAGGCTTAATTAATTTTAAACAAAGTTAAAGTCAGGTGACGTGCAGCCACCAACGCGAGCGAATGCACTCGAGCGAGCGTCGTCGCTGGTAACGTAATACGGAGTCGGACTACCTGACCGATCTGACAGTAAGCTCGAAACAAAATCGAATCGGTACACGAGGAGCATCCGTACAGCTGGAACTCGTTTATAAACAAGTGTCCCCTTTTTGGTTTCCGCTCGAATCCATTGAAAAGAGCAAAAAAGTGATGAAAAGTTGGAAAGGAAAATGGAAGGGAAAAGAAAGCTTGGGAGAAAGCCTCGTTACCTTAATTTCTTCACTTTTTCGGGGTCGTAAGGTAATTTCACTTGCTCCATAAACGTCGAATTATACATTTCGTAGCTTTTTCTTACTTCAGTTTCACTTCCGCCCTTGTTTAAATTCATAATCTCCAAAAAATTTCGAAATTACTTATTTTATCGACGAATAAAACTGCTCGAAGTCCAAAGGAGAGTCGAAAAATGTACACAAAATCTGAAACTTCAGTCTTTTCGTTTATTTTTGCGTCAGAGAATAATTATGCTTCGTTTTTCTTATACCAAAACCATCAATCTGCAAATTTTCACTTTTGCAAAAGAATTCTTCAAAAATCTTGATCTCTAGAATTATCTAATTGCATTTCACACTCAATCGTCAATTTCTGTAATCAATCTAATCTCACATTCCTGGTATTTTCATAGGAAGAACGTTTAATCGATTCTAAGAGGTCAAATTAAAAAAAATTCAAATTCCTCTCCTTCAAATGAAAATTGAAATCTTCCAACCTGAGCCTCGAACATCTTAGAGATTCGAAGATTAAGATTCCGCTGAAGAATATAGACCGCAGACGTTTTTCTTTCGTTCATTAGCAAGACGCGAGAAACGAAAGGCGGATGCGCCTGTCCGGAAAGGAGAATGGTCTTCTCGCATTGGTCCATCCGCGGTTTCCATGGACGCGAATCATCGATCTGTTCGCCGTTGACGTTTGTTTCCGGTACGGAGCATGCTCCAATGGAACTCGGTACCTCTCCTCGTCCAAGCGTTTCATTATTCGAACAAAGAGACGACTGAAAGAAGTCGTTAAGTAGGATTGAATCCTTTCTTCGTTTATGGTAGATCTAGGAGAATCGTGGAAAAATTTATCCGTGGACGATTCTGTCGCAATTTTAATTTTCAACCCTTTCAAAGACAGAGACCGAGGAATTTTTAACATTGCTAATTGGAGACTACTAAACTTGCTTGTTTATTTTACATTTTTAACTATAAAGAGAAATTATTAGGGGAGAGTCGTGCAGTACCGGCCGCTCTAAGTTTTTCTACTATAACTTGGGTTAATGCTGGTAAAAATGAAATTTCAAAAATGTAATTTGTAGAACAAAGGGTGCTTAATAAAAGGTAACAAATGGTTTTAAAAATAAAAAAGTTGTAATTTGCAGCAAACGAAAAATTGTCGTGCAGTACCGGCGAGCTACTTAGTTGGTAGATTTGAAGGTCTAAGTAATAAATAATGTTGGTAAAAATCGTTTAAAAATAGAACAGAACTTTTATTTAGCCAAGTGATCGATATTTTCTTGATCCGTACACTCCACGTGATAACTTTTGTCGTACGGTACACCAGCGTAAACGTTAAACGTCTTAGAACTCTGGTAATACTGAAGAAAACAGAACGTCGCCGGAATATGTTGCTCATGGCTATAGTATTCATCTGCTTTTTCATCAATAGCGCAGTCAACTAACAGTATAAGCGAGATCTAGCTTTGGCCGGTACTGTACTGTTAGGATAGTGACACCGCTTAGAATTAGTCACTATCCTGACGCACCAGGAGGATCCTTTGGCCGTTCGAAGCTCGAACGGCTTACTCATAAGTGTACAAACTCCAGGAAAAGCGAAGGGATAAAGGACAGCGTCCTCATACATTTCGGGCAATAGTCGGTTTCACCTCGTCCCGTACGTGATTCCTGTATTATATTAATAAAACTACTTTTACACACGAAGAAACGTTCTTCGAGACTCCTCTCTTTGCCGCGGCATAACTCTCTGCACGACTCTCCCCTATACTGAATTAATATTTGCACTTTTGTACCACCTTACTTACAGTTATTCTAAAAAATATTCATCTGAATAAGAAAGAAACTTTTGCATTTCCTTAAACTTTTTGTTATACTTATAGTGTTTGTATACTTTATTAAAGGATAATTTTTCACGACTCGCAGTATTAAATTAGGCGTCTCTGTCGAAGACATCATTTTTATCAATTACTTCGGCAAAAGAAGAAGAGCGAATATCGGAGTATCTTGATTTCTTTTAAGATCTTATCTCAAGCAGCATTCTTGGTCCGCTTATCTATAGTCTGACGGTGACTATAATGGCAATTGAGAGTGCAGAGAATCGCGTCTGGAAAGAAGTTCTTCACTTCATTACCGATTCAATTAGACGCAGAAATAGTCGACCAAACAAACGTCCCGATACCTTCGGAACCCTTTGTGAAAAGCATAGCTCGCCCCTTCTGGATTCTCCAAGTACATAGTTCGATTCTACGCCTCGAGAACCACCCATCGGCAACTTCTACTCATTAAGGCATTATCCCGTCGCGGCTGAAGTTAACGCTCTTGCAACGATATGCAATCAAGTGCACAGACGAGCGCGCACTTAAATTGCTCCCGGGGAGTTATCGAACGTGGGACGAGAACTTGGCTCGTTAACGTGCCACGAAATCGCGCGGACCAACTTCCGGAAGTCCACGACACGCCATTTTCGAATCGATCCATCGACACCATTTTTTCTATCGTTTCCCTCGTTTTTCAATTCGCGAGTAATAACACTCAGGACTTTTTATAATAAATCTTATGCTTGATGAAATTTTTTTTTAAGGAGAACAGTATGATTATTACTTAGAAAAAATTTTTTCCGTATGAATTTCAATTTCAAAATTAGAAACTCTGTAACGAATGAAATCCTTCTTTCCTTTGTATTTTTTTTTTTTAAGAGAGAGTAAAATTTGCGAAATTTTACATTTTGAATGTTAACGTTAATTTTCCCCCCTTTTTAAAAAGAAGAATACACTATTCTGTGAAAAAGAATGTGTAATTTCTTGAAATTTACGTTTTCCAGTTTCGATAGATCGACACAATCGACCACGTTTCGCTCATGTTTCACCATCGTCTCTTGTTTTCGTAGAAGTATTTCAGGCGTAAGGAGAAAAATTCGCAGTTTGCACGGAAATGGAATAATGTAATCTTTCACTCGGAAAATATGAAAATATAGCTCGGCACTCGGTTAGAAAAATCCAGAAGTTCGTATTTCGAAGAAATTGGACATGAACGAACTCAGGGCTCTAACCAGACGATCTTTGTTACCGATTCTGAAGAACAACTCGCAGGTAACACGCTTTTTCTAAACTTTCCTTACAGAAATAAAGAGTTTCGTAAGATCCGCTTGCACCATAATCGAACTAAACTCAGGCAAACATAAAGGTAATTCAAAGATTCCGTCGTCAGACACTTCTTCCTCGATTCTCGTTTCCTCAGTTTCTAACTGAACCGTTTAAAACTTCTTTCATCTATCTTCTCGTCTAAAGAACCATGGCATTCAGACTGAAAGGGTTAAAAATCATCAAAATCTCCTTTTCTTCGCCTAAAATTTCGTTAAAGTCTATGCATCGATTATTATAAAAAAAGAGAAAATACATTCGACACAGAATACACGCGAATCTTTTTCAAAGCATTTCCCTAATTACGAGTTAATTACTAACAAAAAAAAAGAAAACTGAAACTACTGTTCCATCGAAAGGCGTACAGCACAGGCGAGGCCCGAGTATGGGAACCGTTTCGCTCGATTTTCAATCAGTGGACACAAGTGAAAAGCGAGCCTTGCTGGGTGGAAGTTCTCATGCCGCGGGATCCTCGAACGAGGATACAGAGCAGGATGACCCGGGTGCCGACGGCTGCTTCGACCATCGTCTTCGGGGTGCGTTGCAATCGGCCACGACCGAGGATACGCAGAGAAATGGTGGACGATTTCCGGCGGAGAACGTTGAAGCTCGCAACCAGATATTGAAATTCGCTTGTGCCAAAGGGAAGCAGAACAACAGGAAGAAGTCTGGTCGTTACAAGCGCAGAGTTACGTTCGCCGTGTGAAATGTGTCCTTTTAGTGTTCTTTCCGTGGAGCGAGAGGAGAAAATAAAGCTGATTCTGTTGTAAAGATTCGTTGAATTGATATTTGAACCGATCAGAAGGCGATGTGACTTAATTTAGTTTATTAAATTTCGTTTATTTTATGCAAATGTTAAGCGTCAATTATGTAGGTTTGAATTTGGAAAGATTGCGCAAAGCGGAGTCGGTCACTTTGGCTTCTGAACGGCTCGTTTATCGATCGTTCGAGAAAGTTCCTTGAGAAACTTAACGAAAATAGAGTTAATTAAATCGCGATATTTAACGGTAGAAATTATTAAAATTTTCCAAAGTCGATTCGTGCGTTCAAATAATTCTCCCAGTTATACTTTTTTATTCGACGTCCTAAGGGGTGAATTTTTAAAAGTTAGAAAGCATCGGTTCTATTTTTCCGATCGAAAGAAACGAAATTCTAGAAATTGAAGAACAACGTCAGAATTGAATATAAATTATAAAATAACATTGAGCTTGCTTTGGATTGTCTTGCAAAATATTCAAAACACTGCTGTAAGTATAAAATAACATAAAATAATGCGCGAACGAGGAATGTCCATTGGAAATGACAGCGAATTAATCAATTACAGATATTAAAGTATCGATAAATTGAAATCGAGAATCGATTCGCTGATGTTTCGGTAACCGTGGATCGGCCATTGTTATTTAAATGCTTGGCCAGTCATCGTTCAAAATGCCGCGTCGCTGAACAATCGGAAATGACATATTCCGTTTAAATTACAGTCACACGTTTCAAAATTCTAAGTGGTCACTACTATAAATGAAATTTAATATATCCTAGACGTATTGTTATTTAATTGCACCAAAAAAGAAAAAAAAGGAAAGGATGAAGGGAATCAGGTCTTTGGTTTTGCAGGATCTTCCTCAAGTTCTTCCTTCGAAAACTTTTCAGGTATTCCCACGATAAATGATCTATCTGTTATCACTGTCCCACAATTTTATTCTCTTCTTTCTTGAATTTGATATTTATTGTTTCCTTCAATTTGACTTATTATAAAATCGGATTTTAAATGTTCTCTGCTCTCCTTATTTAACATTTTAATCTCTCTTGTAGCATTCTTTCTATCCTTAATTCATCATATTTCACATTTTTTCCTTTTTTTCTATTCTATCCTTGATATCACCATTGTTGTTTCTTTAATTCAACTTAGACCCGGATTTCAGATTTTCTCGGTTCTCCTTATTTAACACTTTAACTTCTCTTGTAGCATTCTTTTTCTCCTATTCTTCTTTCTTTCTTTAATTTATTATATTTCACATTTCTCTCCTTTTCTCTATTCTCTTTTCAATATCTATTATGCACCGCAACGAGTTTAGACTCGTAAATAAATAAATAAACAAATATTTCACGAAAAATTCCACGAGAAGAATCGTCTAGCGCGTCCAACGTCGCAACACCACACGACAGCATCGTCGTGTCGATTCTGGAACTTCTTCGAGCTCTCCCCCAAGGAGGAACCCTGTCACGATGCAAAGAAGTGTTCATCGTCGAAGAACATCGTCTCCTCCACGCTTCTCTCCTCGAACGAACTCGACAGCGCCTCGAGAACCATCGGTTTGAATCCAAGAGCCTACGGCTATCAGTTCGACCTGAAATCGACGCCTATGACCTGTCTGAAGGTCCCGAAAGCCGTGAAACAAGAAAACTTCACGTCCTTACTAGACGGAAATCCCGTACCAAAGACGTTAAAATGGAAGTTAAAAGGTTACAAGACACTTCGCATCGAGCAGGCTGAAGATTTCGCGTTTGTACCAGGTGGAAAAACCTACGACTTCGATATTCTCACGAAGAACAACGAACACAACGAATTGTCACCGAATTCGAACAAAATTTCGAAGAAAATCACTTCTGGAAAAAAGCCTGCTTCTTCGAAAACAACTAATAACGACAATAATAAAGACACTCTGTGTTTAACTACGAAAGCTATAGAAAATAAGGAGCAAGTAGAGTGTATAAAAAAATCAAATCTCGTCGAGGTTAACAAAGACTGTACAAAATCGTCGAATCCTACAGAAACGAAGATCGAGTGCAAAATTGATAAAACGGCTGCATTAAGTATCTCGAAGGAGCAAAAAGTCCTGGAAGCAGTGAAATCAGAGACTCTTTCCAATCAGAAAGTTCCTCTAGCATCTCAGTTGCTCGCGAATTCGACTCTGAAGAAAGAAGAGATCAAATTCCTGCCAATTTCCAAGTCAGAATTATCGAACCAAATGAAGTATCAGACCCAACCATTAGCTCAATATTCTTCTCGTCCACCCAAGAAAATTCAGATATCCCCTGCTCCTGTGGTAAAACAGAGCTCTGAGAAAGGCACTAAAAAATTAACGCCTGTGATGGAACCACGCGAAGAGAAACAGCCTTCGTTCGTCTCTAAACTACCTCTGCCAACTGCTACGCAAGTTTCAGAGAGCACTGTGTCCAGAGAATGGTCCACCATGGAGAACCAAGGTCCTAAAGACACCATAAATTCCACTCAATTTTACACAGTGCAAAGAATGCACGAGAATAAACCATTAGACCTGAAACCTCGATCTTCGGTCAAAACTAGTGACAAAAATCTGTCTGAATCTTCTCAGATGAATACCTACTTCGCTCCACGGTCGAGCAAGGAAAAATCTGGTAATTTTAGTGTTTCGAGGAAAGAAGCTTCTGAGTTGCAGAATAGACCTGACTACGAGACGATCATGGGAATCCCAGAGAAGCCAAAAGCAGTTCTGAAGATAGCTAACGCCGGTGAAAATGGGAACGTAAGAACGTCACCTTGCGCCGCGACTCAAGCGCGATTGCAGCAGAATAGTGGAAATGTAGGTGGACAGAATCAGTCCGCGGGTTCTTTTGGACCTAATTCGTCGTCTATGTCGGGGAATTCCGGGAACGGATCGAAGAAACCTCCAGGTTCTTATCCCCCGTTCACCACGAGGAGATCGTCGTCGAATAGTTCTTGCCTGACGAAGAGTTCGATGGTTTCGAAGGCTGTCGAGGGCGGTGTGCAGGGAAAGAACAACAGTTCGAGTATTTCTACGTCTAGTAGGAATCCAGCGCCGAGAAAGTGTGGAGACGACGACGAGCCGAAGTGTAATAGGAATAGGGGAAGACAGAGGAAGTGCGAGAGGCAGGAGAGACCGAAGTGCGAGAGGCAGGAGAGACCGAAGTGCAAGAAGGAGAAGAAGACTTGCAAGCGTTATTGTTGTCCCGCGTTGCAGACACCGATGGAGTGCAATTATAGTAAGTTCCAGTGTCCGAAGAGCAAGTGTGATCAGGCGGTGGTGAAGCCTGATACAGAAACGGATCCGACGTGTTTGCCGAATGACACGGACAAGAGTCGTGAAATTTGCACGAAACCGAGGAGGAAGAAGAGCGAACTATCGTGCAAGAGGGAGAGACCGTGCAAACAAAAAAGGTATTTTGTTTTTTAACTGTTCATTCAGCGATTCACTGGAAAAATAAATGTGTGACACTTGAGAGAGGTTTAGGAAAGTTTACAAGAGATTTTTTATTTTGTTTATTTGGTAGAGGAGAATTTTACAGCAATAATTTGTAACGGTCAGTATGATTAAACAAATATGCAGATTAGTATCTCCAAACGTTGGAAGGATTTTCTTTTCATAAAAATTGGGAAGAGGAAATTTGTTGTAATTAAATGAATTTTTAAATAATCAAACGTAATATACAAATTATTGCAGTGAAAAGAAAAAAAGATTCTCTTCTTGGAAAAATTTATAGAAACAGAAATTTACAATAAAAATTCACTCGAATCGATCACTATTGATTAGCTTCCTAGTACAATATCATTATAAATATTTAGGAGAGAACCAAGTTGCGAGCGTGAACAGCAACCGTGTCAAAAAAGAAGGTCCTGCAAGCGTCAAGAGCAACAGGACTGTGGTCAAACGCAAGATCAAGGTCGCGAGATCTGCACGAAACCAAGAAAAAGGGAAACCTGCAAACGTCAGAGAAAATGCAACGATCGTGACAGTGGCAGGAGATCCGCGAAATGCACAGGAAGAAGACATTATACTCAATCAGCTTATAAAAACCGAACGAAACCCCTTACAAACATAAAACGTTACTCTTCCTTGCCAGCTTTCGCTTTTCCATTGATCGGCATGAGAATGAACGGAGAATCGAAACAGAAGATATTGAAAACACCGACCGACAGTAAATTCTACGGATCAGATAGTTGTTCGAAGAAGGACGATCCTTGCAAGAAAGTTAGCAGTTGTGGAAAGAAGAAGGAGGATCCTTGTAAAAAAGTTAGCAGTTGTGGCCAGAAGAAAGAGGATCCTTGCAAGAAGGCGAAAGCTAGCAGTTGTGGCCAGAAGAAGGAGGATCCTTGCAAGAAGGTGAAAGCTAGCAGCAGTTGTGGCCAAAAGAAAGATCCTTGTAAAAAGAGTAGCAGCAGTTGTGGCGCGAAAAAGGAGGATCCTTGCAAGAAGACTAAATCGAGCACCACTTGTGGGGCGAAGAAGCCAGATCCTTGCAAAAAATCAAAATCGAGCAGCAGTTGCGGCGCGAAAAAGGAGGATCCTTGCAAGAAAACTAAATCGAGCACCACTTGTGGGGCGAAGAAGCCAGATCCTTGCAAAAAATCAAAATCGAGCAGCAGTTGCGGCGCGAAAAAGGAGGATCCTTGCAAGAAGACTAAATCGAGCAGCACTTGTGGCGCGAAGAAGCAGGATCCTTGTAAAAAGGCGAAACCATGTGGCGACACGAAGAAGAAGGTGGATCCTTGTGACAAGAGCAAAGGAAAATCGGGAGATTCTTGTACTCAGAAAAGAACGCAAGTGTGCCAAGGTAGTAAGAAATTTTCCAAATTTTTATACCAAATTTTGTTGCTTTTTATTAACTTACGTTTCAATTCAATGCGAAATTTTTTCATTAATTTAAGTTTCAATTCAGTACGAAATTTTTTTATCAATATAATTTCCAACTCAATACGAAATTTTATTATTAATTTAATTTTCAATTCAATAGGAAATGCATATCGCTCTTTAATCAACTTTTAATGCTGTTAATACAGATAGGAAGAAGGTGGCAGCCTCGACAACTTCGCAAAGCGAGTCAATGAAGGACAGGGCAGAAAGGGAGCGGAAAGAAATGGACGAGTGCAAGAAGAGCATCAAGGATAAGAAACAGAAGGAGGAGAAAAAGGCCCCTGGTTTGGAACGTGTCGTCAGCCCGTGCAAACAGCAATCGAAGGATAAAAAGGGCTGCCAGAAGAAATTCTCAGCCATTGATATGCCACTGAACTCGCTAATAAACAGTATGTCGGGGTTGTCTGTTAGGCGACTTGTGAACGTTTCGTCGGATCGATCGTTCTCCACTGCGAGGAGCAGCAGCAATTCCAACGATTTCGAAGTGGAGAAGTCAGCGTCGAACGAGAACAAGAACTACTGGAAGCTCAACGAGAACGACGACTTCAGCTTCGGGGAACTGCCTGTACCGGTTGTAACAGAGAATCAGGAAGAAGTGCAGCAGGACAATCCTTCCTTCAGACCTAACTGGTTCCTTTCGTGGTTCAACGCGAGCTATCATTAGAAAACTTTCAAGTGAAAATACGGAGGATAGAAATTTTCTTTCGAAAGTTCCACGCGTTTTCATGGAAGTGTTAAGATAGTCTGTGTTCTGATAATGAGAAAAAAGAAAAAATTGGATATATATGTATGTATCTCGTATCAACGTCTGTCCAAACCAGAATGATTTTACCAAAGTGTAAAATTTGTTCGGATCATCGATTTTATTTCTATTGTTTTCGAATCAATGAACTAATCTTTCGTGGATATTTAATGTACAAATTTTGAAATAATTACAATTTACAACTACTAACAATGTATCAAGATAACGAAACACTATGTACAATTGTATATTTATTATATTACATTGAGGTTAATTTTTGTTCCAGTATAATTTCCTTATAAATTACAAACAATTGCATTGTACAAATAATACACGAACCGTTCTGTATCATATCTAGAATTACGTCATTTCCACAAAGACTGCCCAAAAGCTACTCTAATCGTTACAACCGCTGTATCCTAACCTACAAATCGTTCGACCAGCAGAGCAGCGTGTGTGTATATACCACAATAGTCGGTAGTTACTCAATCCATGGCCAATGACAATCGTCGTGGCCCGAATAATCCTCTGGGTCGAGATCGTCCACGGGGCAAAGTTCGTCCCCGTGAATCGAGTGTCGCGGCCAGTTACGAGACGTCTTTGTGCGACGAACAAGCCACGACAGAGGCGTACACGTGAATGGAGGGGTAGCAATTATGGGTTATTCAGGTCTCGCCACGGGATACCCAGGGTGCCGTCACCATGGAATTTTTCGTACGTACATATACCTGGCGCCTCGCCGCACGGCCCTTTTTACATTGTACACACGTACACGCATGTACACACGCGCGCACGCACGTGTGCGAACGTGTTGCTTGTGTGTAGAACAGAGAGAGAAACAGAGGATGTGTTTTATAAGAGAAGGAGAAAAGGGAGGGAGAAAAACGTGAGGACGTCTCTGCGGGGATCCCCGCGCTCTGCCACTTATGGGAACGTGATACGAGCTTTTCGTTGGATGCTCTCTTGCGTTTTCGCATTGTTGCGCAACCACGTCGTCCTTCCTTTGCGTTCCACGCTCCCGTTTCTCTCCTCGTCTTTTTCTTTTCCTTTCCTTTCCTTTCCTTTCCTTTCTTTTCTTTCTTTCTTTGCCGTGTCTCCTCCTTTGCCTCTTTGCCTTCCTCGACAAAGGGAATCGATGTCAATGCGAACACGCTTTGTGCCGCGCTACTTTCAACTTCCGGCTCGTCCCGCGACGACATCAAATTCGTGTTTACACCGTGTTAGAGTCTTGTAATGTGTTTCTGAAAAAAAAAAAATTCAACGCTTTGCATCTTTCCGATTTGTTAATTCTTGAATTTCGATAGAGTATCTGTGATATTTGTACTATTAAGGAAATAAGTTCTTGTGGTTTTATAATTTGCGATAGGATATGATAACAGAGAAAGTGAAGATTTAATTTTTGAAGTGCTTCGAGATGAAGGAGTAAACATGGTCGTCTGGCACGTGACACAGAAATCACTCTTAACCAGACACATTATGGCTACGTATGCGCGCGGATATTTTTGAACAAGTTGTCATCGAGAAGATCGAACGGTTGATTTCACGGATGCTTAAAGGGGGCGAGGAGAGCCGTGAGCATCTAGACGTCACATTATGATGTCAACGACTTCTTCCTGGACCACAAACCGCTTCGACCGTGTGTCCAGGATGAATGGTGACGCCACGGGTGGCACCCCGTCGGAGAGAACCGCATACAACCACTGGAAATGTGTCAATTTCCTCGGGATCATTCGAATCCGGATGAGAATCTCCGCTGTCCGTCTATCTCAACGTTTTATTCCTATATTTATTCGTTTGTTCCATGGAATTCCATACTCTTCGATTTTATTTCCAATGAAATTCTTTTCTGTACCGAAACATAACCTAAAATCCGATAAAAATGAACGAAACTAATAATAAACTGCTAATAATACAATTAGATTACAAGTATGTCAAAAACTATTCATAAGTCAAACTATATAAACGGTACTAAAAATAGAAAAAGGGACAAAAAGTGAAAAAGCTTTTCCAATGTGACACATGTCAAGGAAGTGCCCCGTCTGTGAATTTTTTTTCCAGGAAGATCCGACGGTTATTATTTTTTTTAATAACCGCTGGAAGTGGCCGTGACCCACGGAAGTGACGAAAGAAGAGCAGAAGGGTTTTCCACGATAACACGTGCGACGCTCGAGAGACGTCCCACGTCAATCAGGAAAGATGGAAAACGGTGTGTGCAAAACAAACGGCGTCCTCGTTTCGTTCGAACCAGGCTCTGGTTAAGAACACGCCGGAAAATCTGGTAGGCAGGCATTATTTTAGGGAGCAAAGCCTTGTTTTTCCAAAAGTTCTTGCGGTCTGAGAAAACAATATGTTCTTTGTCCTCCACGCCATACGATCTTTCTCACAACTGAACACTGGTCAATGGTTAAAAATCTTAAAGATGAGTCTATGAAATATTTCACACGATCTTATTGCTACACGTTTACTTTCTCGAAGGCTAATGTGTTTCCTCGTTAAAAACATTATATCTTTACCGAAATAAAAGTTTTATTATTTATATTTAATATTTTATTCAATTTGTATTAATCATTTACGTTTCAATTGATTAACAGTACCACTTTTAAAATTGTATTGATGTCAGTATCATATTTAGAAAGAAACATATGTTTTTAGTAATGTTTTTTTAGAGGTTATATAACCGAGGAAGTTTTTATCGGTTGCACGCACTGCTTCTAACCTTCGAGTACCTTCGTTACGAAACACGTGAATATGTGCACGAAGATACAGAACTGTTCTGTCGGTAATCATTTTAATTCCACGGAATTTTCACCAGAGGATTTGTGAGACTGTGTAATTCCTGTCATTGTATCAAACAAGGCAGTTAAAGTTGTTCATTCTTTCGGGAAGCGTACGTTATTTCTGTGCTGGAACACATTAGATAGACACCATGGCGGTAATAACATCACATTTCGATTTGTGCACCGCGTGTAAATGGAAAATGGTTATTAACGTCGACTTCTTTGCTACGAACGAGTTCGACTCGACCACGATGAAAAATCGATTTATGGCACTTGCATGTTTATGAACGCCTCCACGGAAGAAGGACAGAAGGTACTTAATAACAGAAGTTGGATAAAGTTTCATGACAATATACTTTTGCAATCCTTAAATCCTATACGCACTTTACGAATGTGTATTCACATGGCGTTTCATTCGACAACCCTATAGATCGATCGTGTGTTCAAATAACGAAAGAAAATCTAGAAAATATATTTATATTTCTTCATGCATGAACATTTACTGCATCGATCTATTTTAACGACGCACGATCGATATTTTCCCTATAATTATTCTGTATACATCGACTCGATCCCGTCGACCGTAGCGGTCACGGAGTAGAGGTTCGACCAATCGATTTCCAAATTGCTCCTATAGTAACGACGTCTCGCGCGAAGTTCGCCAAATACAGTTTCACGTCAACGTGTCGACAAATTTCAGGTTCGTGTATCGTTGCACGAGATATTCATAGAGAGAACAATTAAATGGCCGGCCAATCGTAAAATTTAACGAGCAACGGGAAAGAAGAAAACACGTTCGTCTCGGGATGAATTCGTCCGATTTACTTGCGCATCTCTTCGACTATAGATTCGCGTTAGAGAAAGAAGCGAGTACAAGTCGGGGGTGTAATGAGGCTTATTTATTGCCGTGCAAGGCTCGGCCAATGGCGAGGCGGGATGGTGGTCGTGGCCATGCCCAGCGGCCAATGATGACGCGCGTCGACTAGCTGTCAAGCGGGCCACGCCCCGGCCAATCAGAACTTAGCTGCGCATGACAGAGTGGCTCGGTCTCGGAACACGCCGGAGCAGCAGTCCCTTCTGGTGCGTGCGTAGGAGAACGTCTCTCTTTCGCCCGGTCACGAGAGAGAGGGAGCGTAAATCTGACATTTCGTTATCATTCTTCGGATTGTCTTCGATGCCACGAAGCACAATATTTAGCTCGTGGTGGCATCGCGTGTGGCTGCTGGTATTGGTTATATTCGACGTGTCGCGTGTTGTCCATCGACGGGAGTGTTAGGAGAGTGCGATATAAACAGTGGGTTTCTTGTAAGCGTTTCAAGTGCATCGGTCGGTCGTTGTGTCGCGTGCTTTCGAGAATCCACTCAGAGAGTCGACAACAACGACAAACAGTTGAAAAGTTTTTTCCACTCTCTCGAGGCCTGATAAAAGAAGAATCACAAGAGTGAGAGAGGGACAGAGAAAACGGACTATTTAACACGGCTCCTAATAATAGCCGGTGCGCGTTCGTACGCGAGTATACTAAGCGCCTATAAATACACACCTACCACAGGCCGCGGAAACACGAGCCCGTGGATTTCACGGTGCAACCTGCCACGAGGAGATAGAAAAGACGCGAGCCGAAGGGAAAAGAGGGAGAATAATCTTGAAGGAGGGCGCACCTGGCGCTCTAAGAGAAACTTGCCATAATCGGATCTAGTCGGAGGCAGTAACGCAAGATAATCGCGCGGCACACACGCGGGACGTGGAAGTGAGACAGAGAGAGAAAGAGAAAGACAGCATAGCAATCGGTCCACCGGCTGCTGGTGTGTAGTGTACCCAACCTCTGAAAGCAGATTAGAGAATAACCGCAGCTGGAGTGAGATTTTATTATTTCACGGGGTATATCCTTTCTTTTGCTCTCGTAACACGAGAAACATCCCGTTGGAGTTCGTCGACGGCCGAGCTTGCAGCAACTCTCTACCAGCGGCTCGCCTAAAAATATCTCCTTCCTGCATATTCTGACGCGTTTATACCGTCACGAGAGCGGCGCGTTCTTCCTTTGTGTCGCCGTGTACTTTTTAACCCTCTGCTTTCTCCTCGTTCGAAAGCGTACGACCACTTTACCGCACCGGCTATTATACACAGCCTGTGTCTACGATCCAAGAGAAAATCCCGATAATAAAGCACAGTTACCAACTGATTCACGCTTTAAGAACGCTCTAAGAACGTGTCATCGTTCGTTGAACTTCGACTCGACTCGACTCGGTAGGAAGACGTACCAGAAAAAGATGCCACGTAGAAAATCGTACGTGAAACAGCACCGTGGATGACCATCGAAAGGTATGAAGATCATCGACGAGTCCATCACCGCCGGTGGCACTAACGCAGCTGAAAATCCGCCGTCGGATAGATTCTCGATACGTGGACCAAGTCTCGTCCGTCGGCTGAGCGATCATCGGTACGCGGATTCCTCGCCGCGAATCAAACAACAATATAATAATTCGATTGCGTGGTAGAGAAGAAAAAAAGGTAAAATAATAGTGAGTGAAACGAAGTGCACGGAAGAAAAGTGGTCCACGGTGGAGGGTGGAGGGAACGGTGTACAAGGGGTCGCCGTGGGCCCCGGAGATGATGCAATGATGGCCTACGGAGGAACCACCGGAAACGGAGGTGCGATGGGACCTTCTTCTGGTGGTACGGACGTTTTGGGCTCGACAGGTGATTACAGCCCGCAGGGAACGCCGACGCCTCTCGCGGGACATGCCGCCGGGCCCGTCGAGGCGAGCACCTACGGTCCTGGAACGGGACCGGCCAGCTATAGTCCTCAAGACAGTCCAGCGAGTTCCGCCGGCGGCGGTAGCGGTGGTAATGGACAGCTACCAAGCTTTGGATTTACTCAGGAACAAGTCGCTTGTGTTTGTGAGGTAAGTTTTAACAAGAGAAGTGTTTTCCGTTTTGAGATTTGAGTTTGATTTGTTTTATGAGCGTCGATTTTGCGCGCGCGCGCGCGCGGTGTTGGATAACGCGTATCCGACGGGAGAGTGCGAGGTGCATTTTTTTTCTTAACAGTTACATTGGTGTAATTTCTTTATTCGTTTATTTATTTGTGTAAACGATGATATGGAAATAAGTTCAATATGAAATGATTTTTTCTCTATTTTATATTTTTTGTATAATGAAAAAGTTAAATTTGTAATGTTTGTAAAATTACCTGCGAAATAGCAGTGTTAACTAGTTGGCTACAACGAACAACTGTTCGCAAGATACTTAACAGGATTCGTAACAGAAATTTATGCACCTTGCGACGCGATGATGAAACTGGCCCTGAAATTCTCTATTTCCCCGGGGGCATATCCGCGGGGACACAACATTGTGTACAGCACCGCGCGCCAAGATTCACTTGCATGTCGCACCACCTAATGGAGTTCATGCGATTTTACTGCAACCATAAATTGTATCGTGTGTGACGTTTACGCTCCTCTCGCATCGAACGTCCCACGTGTGTGACGCGTCGGAATTCGGTTTCTTACGTGTCCCGAGCATTTTATTCGGGGCACCGTTGCCTGCGTGGTCTCGTTTTTGTCTTTTTCGAAACGAGTAAAAATTAAACGTTGAAGTAGCATAGTATTTCGTTAATAACGTATTATACGAGTCATAATACGAAAATGAGTTTCCATATGTATGTAATGGTTAAAAAAGATTTGTCAAAGATATAACCATAAACCAGTAGTGGATTAGGATGCAAATTACAGAGGTAAAGATGTGCGAGGAACGTATCGTATTTGCACATGTTTCCCATACGGCTAGACGTTTAACTCCTTGCCCACGTCACATGGATATATTCCGTTTAATTTACGGCAACGTTTCGCGTTTTCGATAAACGACCGCACTGTCCGCTTAGAATGGAATCGTTTAACGGGTAATTACGCCCCCGTCATAATAAAGAGGCTTAGAGAGTGGTCTAAGCGTTTACGATCGTACCTCCTAATAATTCAAGCTTATCGTTTCGGTTAGAAGCATTCCGTGTGCTTTCACTTTTACCATTATTAAAACGATCGATACTTTCGTGTTAAACACTTTTTGAATTTTCAAATTGAATGAAATTTAAAATTCAAAATGTCAATCGGGCTAAAGTAATTACACCTGACACTGGTCAGATGTCACTTTTCAGATCACCATGGTTACCGTGGTAACACAATTCGTGGTCACCCCGTGAGACGTGGGCGCTAGTTGTCTTGTATCATCCGAAGTAACCGGCGAATCGAATCGAATCGTTCGAGAAAAAGAACGTTGTTAACGATTTTCAATTTTACCGTTCGCCGCCGGGTGGTGCCGGTCGTTTCGCGCGCAGTTCGAGTTCTCGCGCCTAGACAAATCGATTCTCGAGTTCGTGATGGAACGAACGACGCAACGAGACCGTTTAACCGTTTTAGCGTGTTCGCCTCGGCACGTCAGTTTGATTTGTTGTCGACCAATCGAATGCTTCCCGTGCAGCGTCGTTAAAGTCTGATCGCGATCTCTCTGTTGGCCATTTCTCTTGGGCTTTCGTCGTAGCTCATTTCTCATTCTATGGGTGGCGGGATTTCTCGCGCATCGTGTGATTAATCGTTCGTCAGAAGTGTCGCGCGCAGAAACTAGGTGGCACCCGGCGACGCGAATGAAGAAGTAATCATGGCAGGTGCACGAGACTCGTACCACCGTCGCGTTTAATGGACGCTCGTTTTCGGTAATTTGCCTGTAATGAGCAATCGAGTGTCGATTCCGTCACGCAGCCTGTTACATTTTCGCCGGTTTTTTTCCCACAATTTTATTCGATGCTTACGCGTAATGAGAATTTAACATTTTCTTTTTTTTTTTATTTTGTCTCTTCTCTTGTGTACGTGTTACGAGTCCTGCATCGTTAAAGATGGCTCGTTAAAAGGGCATACTAGTATCGTCGATGAATTTATCGAAGTGTGATCTTCCTTGTTAAGTGAACATGGCACATCTTGTTATCTGCAGATATTTCATATTTTGTGCTAACGTTTTTTTTTTTAAATTAAAAAAGTTAAAAAAAAGAAAGACACCCTTTTCGCGGAACGAAACAGAGATATATACGAGATGAAAAATAATTGTAACGATTGAGAAACAATACAAGATACACTAGAATAAGAGGAGATCGGGATGAGTTCTGCCGACTAACAGTGTGCCCCCCCTGTCTATCGTCTTCAAGGCGATGGTGTCGTCTGTCCAGGTTCTCCAGCAGGCAGGCTCCGTGGAGAGGCTCGGCAGGTTCCTGTGGTCCCTGCCGGCGTGCACCAGGCTGCACCGACATGAGAGCGTGCTGAAAGCCAAGGCGATCGTCGCCTTCCATCGGGGCCACTTCAAGGAACTGTACAGGATCCTTGAGAGCCATACATTCAATCTGCACAATCATCCGAAACTGCAAGCCCTTTGGCTCAGGGCTCATTACATAGAGGCCGAGAGACTGAGGGGAAGGCCTCTCGGTGCAGTCGGTTAGTATCAAATAATTTTTCAAGTCAGTCCTATCCTTCGTGTTATGTAGAACTTAAAATACCCTATAAAAAGAACAAAAAAAAAGAAAAAAAAAACACTGGAATATCACCGCATACAATTCCGATGATGTATGTTGTTTAAAGTATAGCGGGTTATTCTTTGTCTAAAGTGAATAGATCGTTCAAGGACACTGGAGAGAGAAACCGCCATGTTGTTTATCTATTCTGTCACTTTATTTATTCTTTTCGTGTGTCAGAAAAAGCGGCTGAAAGTCGAAAGAATAACCTAGACTTGTCAAACTACTGTAACAAATTACCAACCATTATGGAATATCTAACCTATTTCGAAGCGTACTAAAAACTTTCGTTCCGTAATATTTTTAGATATACGTTTAAAGAATCCGGTAAATAGAACCACTCGATATTCTGTTCAGTTTGCCCTACAGTTGTCCGAACGCTCGACCTTTTTGTAGAATTGTTTTGACCGCCATGATGGTCATGTGATACGTCTATCGTCTAACGTGCAGGAAGCAATCTTGAACTTGTCGAGAATGACTTTACTGGAAAGTTTCGACAGTTTCACACGATTCACTTTCGCTCTCTTCAAACCAGTGCTGTGTTTTTTTCGGGGAAGTAAATTTTTCCGAGTACCTCGTGAAGCGTTGTTTCTTTCTCGATGCGTCGTGCGTTTGATATATCTCACTTAACGTTCAACGATGCGCGAGAGTTAAAAATACGGATCGGGCCGCGTAACAACGCCGGGTCTAATTCATCGGGGCGATCATAATAGCGCCGGGAAGGAAACCGTCTTCGCGAATGGAACAAGCATCGCGCAGCAATTTCGCGGCCCGAGGCCTGCCAGTTTTATTTCTGTCGCGCGTTGTAAACAGGGAGGAAGGCGAGTTTAACGAGCTGACATTCTAATTAGATCTTTCCATTTACTTTTGCGAACCAATTTGTGTCATCCGATCCTTCCTTCTCTCTCTCTCTCTTTCTCTCTCTCTCTCTCTCTCTCTCTCTCTCTATACGCGCTAAAACCAGAGAGCAAAAAGAGAAATCGGTCCCCGTGACACACCGGGACTCGTGTGAAGATTTCCGGCTGCTTTGAACGAGAACAACTTCACTGTGCTTCTGAGAAACCTCCGGTAACCATACTTCTCTTAATTGAACGCCCTTACTGCTGGACCGAGAATTTTTTATGCCGGTCAGCAGCGTAATTTTGCTTCCTTTCCCATTTTTATTTCCATCAATTGTACATATCGTTATTTGTAAGGTAGGAATAAATTGTGATGTTTCATTTTTTTTTTATACCCGTTATATCGATGAGCCATTGGTAGCCAGATTACAAATATACGAAACAATGCCATCGTGTATTTGTAGCAAGATCGAAGGACGGAAATAAAATCGAACGCAAGTGGTGTGCTGCGTCGCTTCGAAAATATCCGGACGTAATTTAGAAGTTTATCGTGTCTTTCGTGTAAATCGCGTAATCCTCTCCGGGGATTTGTTGCTTGTAATTAATGATAGCAGCGTGTAATTTTGCTTGTAAACACGAAAGATTCGTCACCTAAAAATAGTAATCCCCAAAATACGATAATACCTTACTGCCGTGTAAAATTCGGTAGAATATCCTGTAGTAGAATTAACGTTCTTAATTCTATCGGAAAGCGGGGTATTTTTGTAAACGACGGAAAAATTTGTCGAATTACAGGAAAGTATCGCGTTAGACGCAAGTTCCCTCTGCCCCGTACTATTTGGGACGGCGAAGAAACGTCTTACTGCTTCAAGGAGAAATCCAGGAGCGTCCTGAGGGATTGGTACGCGACTAATCCTTATCCGTCACCCCGCGAGAAGCGAGAATTGGCAGAGAGCACGGGCCTCACCACTACGCAAGTCAGTAACTGGTTCAAGAACCGGAGACAAAGGGACCGCGCGGCTGAACACAGGTATTTATCTCTTTTTTTAACGCGGTAACCTTAGTTAACATTGTGCTTTGCATTGTAAAGCGTGTTAGAGCGTCAAGGGTACCCATAAGTATTTTTAAACAAATTGAATCACGCCGGTAGAAAGTACACGTTACTAAAGTATTCCACATCGGATTTACAATTTTTTTCGCTACGACTTTTGTTCGAAAGGTCACACGATCGTTTAGAATGTTGACATTTACCATGATATAATTGCCTTTGTTAGCAAAGTATTACCCAACGCAGTGTATAGCTAATTCTAGTAATTATCGCCATTGGCGGGAAATTTGAAAACGATTATACAGGCAAGAATATTATTTATGTGAATTTCACACATCGTGTACACTGACAAATTCACCGGTGTAATGCGTGAGTTAGCCTAGAAATTAGGGGTTTTCACTTGGAATATTTCAAAGAGAGAGAGTTACAGCACGGTTACATAACCTTTTTCTAATAACCAAATATCGCGATGCGCCAGACACGTCTGCTTGTTT